GCCGCAAGTCCTCTCGTGAGGTTGGTGGAAGGGGAAGAGAGGTCGGACGTTCCTGACCACCCCTAGGGTGCTCCTGCTCAAATTGGGGTGGAACTGAGCCAAATCATACCGGAACTTGTATGGGGCTCAAAGCAATGGCTGACGATAAGCGTACATCCAGCTCTTTACCGCGATGAATTTCGCGGGCCTAGATCTGACACCGTCAGACAGGTGGCATTAGAAACAACAACATCAAATGAGAGATTTGATTTTTAATTTACATCACACTCTGACTAACCTCGAAGTTCTGAACCATGATCAAGTGGTGTGGACGACACCCAACACCCGACGAATACATGAGAAAAAATTTGAGGAAGATTACCTGGGAGTACCACGAAGAATCATTGGATATTGACAGAACAATAACTGAAGGTTCTGAAATTTTTAATAGTCTTAAAGCATATTGACTTAGAAAAAGATTTTGAGTTAACTTACTACAAAAATAGTAGCGCTTTCTTCAAACTTAGCTATATGGAGGCTTCTTCTGAAAATAAGACATATAGTTTATATATTTCTCTAAGAGTTGGTTAGGTAAATGACTCCACGTATATAAGCATTTTTGATATTTTGATAAAGAATAATAAAATATGTATTAAAATGTCTATATCTGGGATTACTTCTGATCCAACATTGTAGTGAGTCCTGATTCGTGGCACGATTGGTGAAAATGTATTTCGAGTCTCTGTCCATGGATAACTGGACTGCGTTGCTTTTATAGCTCAGAATGTAATAAAAAATAATTGAAGGTTGAATATATGAAAGTATATATTGTTGCAAATTAGCTTGGATGAAAGCAGCCGACGACTCCAATAAATTGAATAATGACATATTTAATAACGGTCGAGAAAGAAAAAAATGACTGTACGGAGATAAATCGATGTATATACACAAGGAAATATTTCAAAGATTATTTACAGTAGTGAAAGGGCATTCATTAAAAGTAGGCTTTACAATGCTTCAGAAAAGGCTCTTTAGAATAGATCCACTAGCAGGAACTCAGACAGAAAAGAGTCACTGCTTTATCGAGACCGAACCTCTGTTCTCGATTGACTCGATATTTGTCTCAAAGATCCTTTATATAGCCTCATGGAAAGTTCAAGAACAATTGATTCCAGAGACTACTCAATGATTCCTTGGTGATATCATTTTTGTCACATCTGTCGCCAAGGGGGATGAATTCAACAATCTGTTAATTCTGGTCTTTTTTTCCTTTTGTGTTGCCATAATCTTATTTTAGTTCATGTTCGGATGCGAACTTTGCCTTTAAATCTCAATTTTCCTCCAAGGACAATGTCACCGCTGAAAAACCAACATACGAGGCTTACATATATATATGTGTGTGTGTGGATTTCCCTCTCATGAAACTTTAAAAAAACAATTTTAAAGGAATGAATAATAACCTATATAAGGAAATAGTATTTCTCATCACATTTATATAAACACTGCTAAATTAATTAACTATTTAGTAAATTTTCCTTAGTTATCAATTTTACGCGGTAATTGTGATTATTTTAAAATAACAGTTTTTAATTGGGTTTTTTTTTTCTGTGAAAGTCTTCAAATAAACGGAACATAAATCTCTCATGTATAATACCAAGAATAATTTTCTTGAAGTGAGAGTAAAAAGTCTTACGCATAAAGTGTCCAGTGTTTAGGGAAACTTAAAGCTAAATGCTAAGAGGAGCCATTAATAGTTGTATTAGTATTCTCTCCCGGTCTCTTCGCCTTTAGAGGCGTTATGAATTTATAACGCCAACCCTTATTCAGGGAACAAAGAAATCCTCTTCCTAAATAACAAATTTTTAGGTCTTTTCAAAATTTTTTACAAGGCACTGTTCAAAATTGCTCTGAAAATATTTAGAGAGGAGGAGTTTTGAATAGCCAGGAGGAAAACTTCGTCAAAATGGGTTGGTTGCTTTTGTGTTGGGGCACAAAAAATAAATAAGTAAATAAATTACCAAAGAATGATTTAGGCCGATTCGCTAAAGCCAGAATTAATATAAAAACTTATAATTGATAGGAAGAAGAAATATTGATTCACTTAAAAAAGTTAAGAGGATGAATATATTACTTTTTTTTTATTGTTTTCTAATCAACTGATGATGAAGAATATAAAATAGGCTTTTCCCATCTTCATACAAAATAATGAAAATAAGGTGTGTGCATTATCATTTTGATTTGATTTCATCGAAAAAAGCAACATAAAGTGATTATGTTAATTTCAAGTTTAAAATATTCAGTTCAAGACATGTTTCAGAACGTTTTCCCTCTATAACTGCTTTAAAATCATATTGTAATCAGTATATTGTTGGTATAGAAAGAAAATAAACTATGTTAAATTTTACAAAACTGAAATTTATCTTTTTTTTCGGTCAATTGCGTTCTTACCACAAATTGATTTTCAGAAGATGCTTTGAGATATGAATGATATATATTGAGTTATGAATATATATTTTTCATGAATATTTTAGAATCGCATTATACGCTTTTTATAGATTTTAATCGAATTTTTATATGAAATATTTGTTATTTTCATTCCTTTTAGATAACAGGCATGAAAACTTTTTCTAATTATTTGATATAAGATTTTAAAAAAGAAACGATTATAACTCATACGTGAACAAAACAATGAAATTAATTTATTAACATTTTTACTAATGAATTTGAAAGTAGAAAGGAACTAATTAAATAAACAAATAGATATATAGTACATGGCAGGCTAGCGTTATAAAATAATTATTTTTCCATATCTTCTACTTTTTCTTCAGTAAGCCTAAATAAAAAAGAAAAGAAATTAAATTTTGATCATAAAAATTATGTCCATATATACAAGAAATAAAAAATAAATATAAATAAATCCTTTTATTCTAAAAGTATTTTAGTATCATAAACATTTAAGAGTTCTTTAGGTTAAGAATAATGAGAAATTGGGAAAAAAACTGATTCACTAAAAATATTTTGTCTCGTAACTCGAGGTACTGGTAACAAAAAAGGCTTGAGTTTATCTGTCAACTTTGATTATCTGTTTTTAGATTTTCTGTGCCGAGTTGTTTTAAAGCTGCTCCTTAAGGTATGAGAAATGTTTTTATGGAGCAGTTAACAGATTATAAATGTTGTACAAATGATATGGGATCCTCACACACATTTCTCTTAATTAATATCTTGGGCTAATACATGACCTCTTGGGCATCTACTTTATGACATTGTTTAATACGAGAACCTAGCCTTGTGAAGGAGACGTGTTGTATACAAATAAGCATTGTTATATGAGAATAAGTGTAGTGAATATATGTGTGGATGTTAAGAAATCGACTCGTGATGGTTCAGAAAATAATAAAGTATTAAAAGAATGGGGTAAAAGAAACACAAAAGAAAGAAAGAGAGAGCGGAGGAAAATACCGATAAGAGAAAAAGGAAAAAGTATTTGATTATGTGATTTTTCTCGACTTTTTTGTGAATTGTTATGAGAATAATTCAAATTCAAAAATGCGAGGTGAATAAAAATATAAAACCAAAGCCAATTTTTATTTATTTTTCGTTTATAAAGTTTCAAATTCAATTTTTTTGGTTTAAACTTTTTTCCTTTCTTTTTACAGTTAAACCATTTTTTTGTAAACCCTCTTCGGATGTTATGTTGAACATCGATGCAACACTATAAACAAGGCCACATGATTTAATTTTTTAATATATATTTATTATTAGCTAGTGAAAGATTTAAAGATTTAGGTTCCGTTTGGATTTAATAAAGTATGTATTTTATTATATTGTTTCTGCTACCATTAATTTGTACCAGCTTTGACAGAACACACAATCTAAAAGAAATCTAATTATTTTTTCCCACTTCAAACAATGTATTAAAAATAATATTGAATTACAAAAATAGTAGACGATAAATTAAAAAAAAAACACCTCGAGGTTTGGTTAATAGTGTGCTGTATCTTCCTTCATTTCAAGGACGAGTACCTTGCTGAAGCTTCAAAAACTGTACACACCACTATAACTTTCTTTAAATACTTTCCTGCTGAAAAATTTCCCACGTACCATGTAAAACTACCGAAAACCATTTATCAAATAAAATTCCTTCTCATATTTTGTTATCTGTACGTTAAAAGATATCAACAAGGTAAATAATAAAGGTCACTGGACCAACCTCTGCCAACAGTCCGTAAGCCGACCAAATCGTCTTTTCAACACTTTACATACAGTACCGCGGTATGTTTGGAAATCCCTTAAAGGGCTTTGAAAGAAATAAATGGACCATCCAAATGAACAAAGGCAGTAGTGTACCATGAAAAGGATACCATCTTCCGTCGTCTAAAGGCGGAGAATGGGATGTATGGTTTCGGTACATTGATTTGAATGCAGTAAATCCGATCCAGGTGCGTTCGTGTACAACAATCGCCAAGCACTCACAAAATTCGACAATTGTATGTACACAATTGTTGAATTTTGTATTCAACAATTCTTCTCCATAAAGGCTTGCTGCTCAGATAACCCACAAAGTACATTTAGTAATGTGATTTATTACTCAGCTGAACTCTTACATTCTTGAATGGGCTAAAGCGGTGTCTGGAAAGTTATTTAGTGCTGTGCATATGGATAAATAAGAGTTGGTTTGACTATAAAACTAACTATAAAAATTAACAATTAACAATTGCGCAATGTTTTAATAATAATATCCGCTTATTGATGCCTTTTTCAACTTCCACACACAATTAGTTCATTCTCTCCCTATATATATATATATATATATCTTGTTCAAATTTTCAATTGCTCATAAAATACATTTTATTCATTCACTCAAGTTCAAATACATTTTTTAAAACTTGTAATGGATAATACTTGATGTTAATACAGTTTTTTAAAAATATTAATTCATTAGTTAAACTTAATTAATAAAGAATAACACAAACAAAAATAATAGCTCAACACTATATATAAAAAGGAAAATCACGCATTATGTCTCTGTAGCAAATTGGATAGCGCGTTGGACTTCTAATCCAACGATCGTGGGTTTGAATTACACCTGGGATGGCCGAATTTCTGAGAATGTGATTTCTTTTTATTATACTATTTTATTGGAATAATTAAATTTAATTAATGAATAGTAAAAGAAACAAAAATAATAGTCCAACGCCGTATATGAAAAGGAAAATAGAAAATTGCAAGGAAAATCGCTTTCCATTTTGCCACTTAATAGTGTGATTCTGTCATAGGTATATATATATTTATATTAATTGTAACTATTTTATAAAAAGTAACTAAAATAAAAGTTTTCTTTGTTGACCTAGGTAGAAATTGACTTAAATTTTTTTAATATTATTTGTTTATTAATATGTGACTCACAAATAATTATATACGGTAACATGTGCAAGAAACGTAGTGGGTTTGATGAGACACGTTTTGCACTGCATCGGGAAAATAAAGATGTGGATTTTGTTTATCAATAATTAGTTGTTACCTACCCGCGTCGCTGGTTGTTTCATGATGCTGTATGGCTATAAATTGTTTTTTTAAGGTATCCAACTACATTCCGAACCTTGATTTTGCAAAAGCGTATAAATGGATAATATTTACGATATTTAGTGTCACTTAGATTAGAAAATGTATATAAAATTGTTTTAAGAATAGTATTACAATAAAAATTATTTGGTACAATATTTTGACAAAATGAATATAGCATGACCCATTTTCAAAATATTCTTCCCCTTTTTTGAAAAAAAGCTTCTATTAAAATAACATTTTTTCCCTTTTTATAAGTTCCCCGACCCTCTACAGAGGCTCAGCTAGAATTTTTTAAATATTTAACTTAGAAGTGGGTTTATCCATATTTTACGACAACAGAGGGGAGCAATTTTAAGAAAAAAACGCCGATGATTATTTCAATAGGTGGTAACTCGAAAAATAATGTGATTTTTTCAAAATTCTTAGTTCAGACTCTCTGGAGAAGTCACGTTATATAAGGAGAAATAATTATTTTGAGCTACTTTTATAAAAGGAAAAAATTTTGAAAAAGGTCATTCTAAGTTAATTTTTTGCCGAAATATTGTATTTAAATAATTTTTTGTCAAAATAGCCTTAAAACAATTTTATACATATATTCTAATCTAAGTGACACTAAATATCATGAAAATTATATATTTATGTGCTTTTTTAAAATCACGGTTCCGAACGTAGTCGGATACCTTAAGAGGGTCTGGCACTTGAATTTTCAAAAGTTACCGATTCTTACTTTTTTGTATTTTCTAAAAGTTCAAATATTTCTGTTTAGAATGATATATGATATGAGGAAATATGATTGTTAGAAATATTTTTTAAAATTTTTTTTCAAATGAGGCTCCTCCTTGACGCGCATCAAATGAGCTCTCCTAGGAGCACCTGAGTTTACCCTTGTATAGGTTTCTTTTGAGCTCGAATCCATATGATGTTCAAGTGGAAAAATTAGAGTGTATTAGGCTTATCCCCAAAAGTGTATGGGTACACGTCTTTTGGATCTTGAAAGCGAAACAGAGAAAAAAAAGTTAAGTGATGGAAAAAGCTTAAGTGGTCGTAACCGACCCACAGACATTTTAATTTTAAAAATTCAAAGATATTATAGTATGCTATTAGAAATATCAATGATCTACACAGCATAAAAACTGCTGTTTAGGCTGTTAATCTTCATCTTCTGTCTTCAAACTAGAGCCCTCAACATGAACTGTGTCCAGCGATTATAAATGCCTGGTGCAAGATTCAAAAGACAGAAGTTGAATGTAACGAAATGCCCTATTATCATAAACACATACACACATGCTATATACCATAATGAATTAGATGAAGCCAATTTTAGAGATCTAGGTGATCCTATGTTATTAAGAAAATATTTACATGGAAAGACCCAGAATCTAAATGAGTCAGTTAATAACACCCTATGGTCAGTGATTCCAAGATCTACATTTGTGGAATTAAAAACTCTAAAATTAGGGGTAAATATGGCTATTTCACAGTTCAATATGTGAATCATGTAATAAAACTAATGATCTTAAAATATTGGGATATTGAACCAAGTTGCAAATGTTTGTCATGCTTTAAAAACTAGATACACGTAGGATTCGTGCAGCCAAACGAAAGCAACTTAAGATCGCAAAAAGAAGAAAAAAATTGTTAAAAATAAAGAAAAAAAGAAAATAAAAAGATTCTTTTGTACAAGCAGAGAGTAAAAAAAAAATGTTTCATATGCTAAGAAAAGTAAATGCTGAAAAAACTACAAATTTTCACTTTAAAGCCTGTTTTCTCAAAACGTAATATTTTTCACTTTATGTACCGTTTTCTCAAAACTACTAATCATATAACTTTTATATATTTTATATATAATATATAACAGACTTTTAGAATGTTTACATATTTTAATGGAGAGAATTAGATATAGCAAACATTTATATATATTAGCAAACATTTTTAGTTATGACTTTTTTAAACTAAATTTTACGGAAAAAAATTGGACAATTTTTAAAAAATTCATAATTAATTTAATTTATAACAAAAAAACAAAAACCTTCGTTAAAGTCTTACTGATAGTACACATAATCTACTGTAAGAATTTTATCCGTGAGAAGTACGTAGTTTCTGAGAGAAAGGTACATAAACATACGCAATTTAACATGGGCCTCCTATGGACGGGGCGGAATCCTTTAAACATATTGATTATTTAAATTCCCCTATCAAGCTTTCGACTGTATTCAAAAACATTCTTACAACCTTAACCTCTTGATTTTAAAAGGCAAACACTTGAAGTTCTGAAAAAGAAGCATGTTTGCTTTTTACGTCAACGTAATCCCCCTCCTTGGGAGTTGATTTCCACGAAACCTGTTCTTAGACGATCTCTACTCAATAAAAGAAACATGGTAGCCAAATTTGAAACAGTCCCTGAGATCTCGTGAATGAGCGGGTTGAGTTGCTTTTCTTCTTATATATATATCGATGAAAAACGATATCAACACCACTTAAAAATGAAAACATAATACCTGTTGCTATACTATCAAAAATAGCAGGATATTCTGATTAATATGGTATTTGCTGACAAGCAAATTGACAAATAAGAAAATTTTTTAAAAATAAATACATTTTATGAGTGCGAAAAAAATTGAAACCAATAAGTTGTTGCATTCTATTATAAGTCTTTTTTTGTAAATAAAACAATTATAATTCTTTTTCTAAAGTCCTAAAGAATCCTGCTTAATTAAACCGAAGTAATTTTAGAGTCTTCTTAAACTCTGGCAGAAATTGCTTTTGTTCTTCATCAAATATAAGATATCCCAAAGTATTTTCTTGTGGATCTGGCAATATAAAATTATTTCAAAACTCATTTCACAATAAGAATGTTCAATATTATTTATAAATTGCCATTAAGTTTTGATAGAATTTTTCATTGTAAAAGAAAAAAGAAACAAACAATTTCATGTGAAATAATCACTAAACACAAATAAAAATAATAATAAAAAAATAAGCAATAAATGAAAGAATCGAAAGTAGATTTTTTAACAACCTTTATTGAATGTATATTTATTCACTAATCTAATTAAACACATTCACAAATGAGTCTATTAACTAATAGATATGGAACAACAAAATGATCCTTCCAAATATTTAACAAAATGAATATTCCAAATATTTAACACAAATGATTTAAAATATTTAACAAATTATTCCAAATGTTTATCAAATTGAATATTCCAAATATTTAACAAAATGAATATTCCAAATATTTAACAAATGATTCCAAATATTTAACAAAATGAATATTCCAAATATTTAACAAATGATTCCAAATATTTAACAAAATGAATATTCCAAATATTTAACAAAATGAATATTCCAAACTTTAAATTGAACTGAACTGAAACTGGAAATTCCCAAAGCTAATTAATGAATTAATATTTGAAAAAACTGTATTCACATAAAAAATGTCACACACTACAAGTTTAAAAAAATATATTTGAATTTGAATGAATGAATAGAACATATTTTATTAACGACTGAAAATTTGAACAATGTATATATATATATATATATATATATATATATATATATATATATATATATATATATATATATATATATATATATATATATAGGGAGTGAGTGAACTAATAGTAGAGGAATTGAAAAAATACTGCATATTTTTCTGAATCTAAAAATGTATAACATTTATATGTTCGTTGATAAAATAACCTTAAAATAGGAAAAATGTAAGCAACGTTTATAAATATATTTAAATTTTTCTCTTTTTCTACAAAGCATAATTTCTTGTTTTTAGGTATACTTAAAAAAAAACTTATTGCACTATGGCTCGAAATTTTTTATACTTCTATACAGGATACCTGTGAATACAGTGAACCTGTTTTTTTAATCTAAGTAGTGTATAGTTTTAAGAAAATTGTTTTATGTGTGAAAAAGGGAGAAAAAATTAAAATTTTCAAAATTACAAAGTTGTATAATTTTTTAAAATAAACTCTACAAAAATACTTTACTAAAAAAATTGGTTCACCATATTTTGTGTATTGTTTTATATATGTGCAAAAATATTTTACATATTTAAGAGATACTTTTTTAAAAAAATGGTATCTAAACATAAGCATGTATTATAAAATCTCAAAAATTAGGAACGATTTAAATTAAACAGAAAAAAAGTTTAACGTTAACCATTATGTTTAATGGTAACATACTCCGTATTAATATGTATATATTGTTCCTTCTGGTAACATTTTGATGTTTCCTTACATTTTTTTATGTGTGTGTGTGTTATATCAGACTAATTTAATCGAAATTTCTCGAATATTTAGGAGATAACAATCAATTTAAAGTGAGAGTTTTCTTAATTTTGTACTCCATTATGCTACTGTATTCTAATGTATGTTTAAATCTAATCGAATATAAAAAAGTTAATACTAAAGTCAACTTTGTCTAATTAATAATTTATTTGGTTTGTCTCGCTACATTTTAATGTAAATCTTATAACAGTTATCCACTCAAGAAATAGATGTAAGTAAATTATG